GACATTCAAACTGGGCCTCTGATTCCTTTAGCGCCCAAACAAAACTGCGACCACTGTGGTCCCGCCTAGCTAGTCACAATCTGTGTTCTTGGAAGGCAAAAATAAAAAACTGCAATCGTTGCCAGACCAGAAGTCTCTATTTTATCTGCGTGTGTGTTCTCTTATATTTAAGGGTAACTACTGTGTTTTGTTTGTTTTATAGCCGTACGGTTGTAGATTCTTTTAAGTATGAAAATGTGTTTTAATTTCTTTGTTGTTAAAATGTTTAAGTTCCGAAAAAATGTTGAAAATGTTTGTTAGTATCTGGAAATTGCTTTGTGCTTTTTTTTTAATGTGTTTTATAGAATTGAAAAGTCATTTCATGATCGCACTGTGTAATCTAAATTAAAGCAATGAAACACGAGCTTTGGTTTCCTGTGTCCTGTATAATGTTTTCCTTTTTAATGGGCGCCAGTGAAGTATGGAACCATGGATTGCAATTCTGAACCTCAGATAATGGTAAAGGCTGATCTGTTAAATCACAACAAAGAGCTATACAGTAGTAAAAGTGTATCTGTTGCAGGAGAGAACTGCAGAGGGTATGACAGGGGGCAGGATGTGCATGAGAGGAGTGTGGAGGGTATGACAGTGGGCAGGATGTGCATGAGAGGTGTGTGGAGAGTATGACAGTGGGCAGCATGTACAGGGAGGAGGGTGTGAAGGTGGGCAGGATATGCATGAGAGGAGTGTGGAGGGTATGACAGCGGGCAGTATGTGCATGAGAGGAGTGTGCAGGGTATGATGGTGGGCAATACTATATGTGCAGGAGAGGAGTGTGGAGGGCGTATCAGTGAGTAGTATGGGCAGGAGAGGAGTGAGGAAGGTATACTAGTGCAGATTATGGGCAGCAGAGGAGCGTGGAGGATATAACTGGGCAGTATGTGCAGGAGAGGAATTTAAAGGGTATGACAGTGGGCAGTGTGTGCAGGAGAGGAGTGTAGAGGTGTATGACAATGAGTAGGATGTGCATGAGAGATGTGTGGAGGGTATGACAGCGGGCAGCATGTACAGGAGAGGAGTGTGCAGGGTATGATGGTGGGCAATACTATATCTGCAGGAGAGGAGTGTGAAGGCCGTATCAGTGAGTAGTATGGGCAGGAGAGGAGTGAGGAAGGTATACTAGTGCAGAGTATGGGCAGCAGAGGAGCGTGGAGGCTATAATAGATCAGACACGCCCCCCTCTATTTTCCAGCACTACACAGACCCGGTCAGACATGCCCCCTCTATTCCTCAGTCACATCCCTCATCACAAGTGTCCTCAGAGATGTGTAGTGCTGTTACTGATCCATGTCAGCGTAGAGCACTGGAGTTTGAGAGCAGGAAATTATAGCATGAAGCAGTAATGGGCTATGAAGAGTTAAAAATGCCTGAACCTTCAATCTGGCCAATGATATAATGTATGAATTCCAATGTTCAATCACACATAACATTTTGGGTTTGAACTCTTCGGTAGCACAGCCTTTTGATTGTCTCTGGTTTTCACCCCCCAGTTTTCATTTTGAACAGCGGCCTGCCACTCAGGCAATGCCCTTTATAGTTACCATTGTCCTTGTTTTCTGGACCACCTTCAACCTGAGCCTAGTGCACTGCTGGTCATTGTGTTCCCAGGCTCCAGCATTGCCCTCTGGAGTTCTTGGAGAGAGGAGACCCAGCAGATAATCCAATAACCGGAAGATGCGTTTCCACTTAAAATGGAGAGAAGGGTACGGAATATGGACCCATTGGACTCTTCGGGCTTCGGAAGGGTTTAATTCCATAGAAGCTGTTCAGCAGTCTCTTAGTAATTCTGCGAGCCAGCATGACCCATATGCAGTGAGGAATGAATCCAGTCCTATCCAGCCGGCAAGATGTCTGCACCCTCTCTAGTGAGATTTGTCAGTGGGGTCGGCGAGGGACAATTCTTATAAGTGATGTGTCCCAAGTCGCCCATATGACATCAGCCTTCGGATACCTAAATCTATCAATATGGTCACCACTCTTATAGACTGTTAGAGCCTAAAGCTGGCCATACACCTCTGTCAAACAGCACAGGAAGCAAAGAGAAATCCCCCCCCCCCCCTCAAAGCTAGGAGTAAAGCTGGCCATACACCTCTAGATTGTCTGCAGATTTTCTAGGGTCAGATGGAAAAAGCGCAAGAGATTCCTCCAGCTACGCTAAACTGTGTGGATGGAGGAATCTCCCACTGGGCCAAGCTTCAGTGTCTGGCTAGTCGGCCCATCCGGCTCTCAAAACACCTGAACCATGCCAGCACCCAATCAGATCATTCAGGTCTTTTGAAAGCCATAGGGGCCAACTAGCAAGATACTGAAGCTTGGCCCAAGCGGGAGATTCCTCCATCCACACAGTTTAGCGTAGATGGAGGAATCTCTTGCGCTTTATCTGATAAGAACAGATACTACACTTGATCTTAGCCAAAAGGCCGAGAAGGCACATACAGCAGTCAAAAGTAAAGCTTAGTCTGATTTCACTGCGCACAATGTGCATTAGAAGCTGCAGCAAGTCAGATAGAGCCCCCCTCATTTCCTAGCAGGAGGATGTTAAGCATAATCTAGTTCTTTCCTCCCCAGCCTGACTGACCATTGCCCACCCCTTTCATTTATTGCATTTCATTTCTTTCAACCATTGGGATTTCAGCATCACATGTGGATGATCTGCATGCAAATACAGCCTGCCTCGGAATGCCCACTCTTCCAGACTGCCATCCACCCATTAAGACATTATATTTGCATAGCTCCTCCCAAGAACCCACCCACTACTTGCATCAGGGCTGAGGGCTCTAGAGAGCAGTACTGAGTCAGGGTGCTGTGATGTTTTCAGGAAGCTATGTACAGCACCCTGCCAGCTCCCCCCACCTGCCAGCCCCTCCCACCTGCCAGCCCCTCCCACCAGCCAGGTCCTAGTAGACCTAGTGACATTGCTAGGTCCAAAATACGGTATGTAATGAAAACAAAAAGGTTGTATTTTAAAACTTTATTAGTATGTTAATGGGGGGGAACCAGGCAAGGCAAAATGTAAGCAGATTAGGTTTCAGCTTTAAGAGCAGTTCCAACCCTTCCACACACTTTTGGAACCACATTGGCTGGAGTCGGATGCAAATCGTGTGTCAAAAAAAACAAACATTTTAGCAGTCAAAGCACTGTTTAGTAAAAGGTCTTTATGAAATGTTTGCATCAAAAAATATTTACATTTTTCCGATGGCTCCAGAGACGTTCAATTCACAAACAAAATGAAAATCTTACAAACGATCTGTCAAGATTGGAGATCACATGACTATATAAACAAAGATTTCTAGAATCATTACAAAAGCGTCTCACTGGAGCTGAGATGGACATGCAGCATCCTGTGCTCATACATGACATCAACCTTCTCTGTGTTACAACATTCACTTAAAGGAACAGTCCACATTGGTAGAATTCCTGATAAGTACATTGGTTGAGTGTCAGCTCTGGAGCGCCTCCTATGTATTCTCCAGAGTCCTTCATCCTGAGGAGCTGCAGAAGGATACATCGACCGTACAATGGAGTTAAACAGATCGAAACCCAAGAACAAAATGTAATATGTTGCAGTTTACCAATCTCACCCCTACCCCTGCTCGTTTTGGTCTAGAGAGTAAAAATAAAGTTATACTGACCTGACCCTAGGAGCCAGCTTGCTCTTAGACGGGCCCTTCAATCCAGGCTCCCCTTCACTGCAGAGGTGTAAGGTCCCCGAGCAATCACATTCTATACACAGTGTATAGGATGTGAGGACGCTGAGGGACCTTCCATCACTGCAGAGGAGGAGACAGGAGGGAGCGCTGTCACAGCCGGCCAGCTTGAAGCATCAGGTGAGTATAACTTTGTTATTTTCCTCCCTAGACCAAAATGAGCAGTTAACCCTTGCAGTGCAGGGGGGGGGGGGCTGGGGGGGGCCCCCCTGCAATGGTTAATACAAATTTTGTTCTTCTTAAGTGCTCCTGATCCTTCTTCCTGCCTGGCTGCTAGACCGTTCCCCACAGCCTCTTCTTCCCTGGGTTCAGCCAGTCAAATTACCACCGCCGCCGACATTATCACGTCTAATGCAGGTCTATATATTCTTTATTTTAGCCCCTAAACCAAAACGAGCACTTAAACCCTTGCAGTGTGGCCCCACTGCAAGGGTTATTTTTTTTTAAAAGCCATTAACTATTGGAAAGTATTTGAAAATGAAAAGCTATTGAATTCCAGCTTTGGTTTAAATGAAATTATTATTTATTTGAATATAAAATGTATTAGAAGATTTATTTGAAAAATGTATTTGAGAATTTATTTATTTGAAAATGTATTTGAAAATGAAATTCTACTGAATTCTAGCTTTGTTTCAAATTAAAATGAAATTATTATTTATTTGACTATAAAATGTATTTGGAAATGTATTTATTTGGACATTTATTTATTTATTTGGGATTTTCTTTTAAAATGTATTTGAAAATTAAATTCTACTGAGTTCTGGCTTTGGTTTAAATGAAAATGAAATTATAATTTTTTTTGAAAATCAAATGATTATTTATTTGAATATAAAATGTATTTGAAGATTTATTTGAACATTTATTTAAAATGTATTTGGAAATGTATTTATTTATGTGGACATTTATTTGGAAATGTATTTTAAAATTTATCTGAAAATTAAATTCTGCTGAATTCTGAGTTTTGTTTTTAGACCAAAGCAAGTATGCAAGACGTGGGTTCAGATTCCTCACACTTCACTGGCTGCATGCTTATTCAGTGACTCACTATTGGCGCCAGGATTAGAATGACAGGCACAGGGGGTCTCAGGACACAACCATCTGTATATGCTAAAATGAAGGCCTTATATTGTATTACATTTGACTCCTCCACCAATGGAAAGCAATGCTGCCCGTCCTATCTGCACCAGGACAACAGTAAAAAAAAAAAAAATCTAATTTTTGAAATGTACATTTTCATGGTGTACGTCTCCTGCTCTAATTTTTCCTTCTGATACCCAGCGAGCGTGTCCGCCTGCCTCCCCTGGGCACCGATGACCCGGAGTTCCCAGCTCGCACTATGTCTCTCATTGGACGCTGCTCTTCGCTGCTCTCTTCTGAGCTGGAGCTCTCTGACTGTGTCTTAATGGCTCGCTCCGGCTTCTCCTCTTCGCTCCCTTGTCTGCACAGCGACTGAGCCTCCCCCTGGCACCGACTCCTGTTCAAGACTCGCAAAGAATCGTTGACTGGCGCAGCGGCAATGCATTCCGCGGCAGCTTTGTCGCAGACGCATAGCAGCCTGTCGCATATGCTCCAGCCCACACCTGAGAAATACAGAAGCATACATTGTGATTCATACAGATGAACCTCAGCAATTGGACCAACTGACAGCTACAATGTATGTTCCCTGAAACTTAAAGGGACACCCCCACACCCAAATACATGTTGGGTGGAGGGGCACAGAGACCGCCTGTTCATTATCTGTATATAAACATATATAGTTATAGCTGTGTCTTCCTTCCCCAGTGACACTCATTGTGCTCATTTCTTGTCCTGGTGTCACTGAGGCAGGAAGTGAAGGGAAATATCTCTAGTAGGAACATCAGTAAAACCTAACATACTGTAGGCTGTAACTCTTCCCCACTTTTATTCTAAAACTAATTGGGTTTCAGGGTCTAATTTTGAGTGGTGGTGAGCTTTACAGAGGCAGTGTACTTCAGACATAGGACACATATCCACCCGTGCTAGCCTTCCTGACCTAAACTAGCACCCCCTTCTGTCTCAGCTGCACAGTGGCGTATACAAGGCATGACACATATGGCATATGTCCTCGGTACTGCTCCATGGGTCTAGAGACACTTGTGACACAACCCTATAAGGGTCTTTGAGGGCTCATCATAAAGATGAGGATAGATGTAAGTTTAGATTCATCCTCCTACCTAGACACTCAGGAGACAGTCATATATAAGTCTATGAGGGCTTACCATAAAGATGAGGCTAGCTGTAAGTTTAGATTCATCTTTCTACACTGGAGACACTCAGGAGACAATCATATACAGGTCTATGAAGGCTCACCATAAAGACGAGGCTAGCTGTAAGTTTAGATTCATCTTTGTAGACTTGAGACACTCAGGATACAACCATATACAAGTCTATGAGGGCTCACTGCACCGGTGAGGTCAGCAATAAGTTTATGGCCATCTCCATGGACTAGAGACACTTGCGAGACAGCCATATAAGGGTCTTTGAGGGATAACCATAAAGATGAGGATAGCTGTAAGTTTAGATCCATCTTCCTAGACTGGAGACACTTAGGATACAGCCATATACAGGTTCATGAGGCCAGGTTTAAGTTTAGATCCACCTTCCTAGACTGTAGACACTCAGGAGACAACCATATACAAGTCTTTGAGGGCTTACCATAAAGATGAGGCCAGCCTGTAAGTTAAGATTGAACCTCCTAGACTGTAGACACCCAGGAGACAGTCATATACAAGTCTATGAGGGCTCACTGCACAGGTGAGGTCATCAATAAGTTTATGGCCACCTCCATGGACTAGAAACACTTGCGAGACAGCCCTATAAGGGTGTTTGAGGGTTCACTATAAAGATGAGGCCAGCTGTAAGTTTAGATCCATCTTCCTAGACTGGAGACACTTAGGAGACAGCCATATCCAAGTCTATGAGGCCAGGTGTAAGTTTAGATTCCTCCTCCTAGACTGGGGACACTCAGGAAACAACCACATACAGGTCTACAAGGCCAGCTATAAGTTCATATTCAATCTCCTAGACTGATGACAATGAGGAGACAACTATATACAGGTCTATGAAGGCTCGCCATAAAAATGAGGCTAGCTGTGAGTTTAGGAAGATTAATCTAGACTGGAGACACTCAAGAGACAGTCATATTCAAGTCTATGACGGACCACTTCACAAATTAGGTTTATAAGTTAATAGTCATCTCCATGTACTACAGACACTTGGGATACAGCCCCATACAAGTCTATAGGGGCTCACCTAAAAATGAGGCTAGCTGTAAGTTTAGGACCATCTTTCCAGACTGCAGACACCGAGGAGACAACCATATACAGGTCTACAAGGGCTCACTGTATAGAGGAAGCTGGAGGAAAGATTAGGGCCACCCGCCTAGACTGAAGACACTCAGAAGCCAGTCTACTACAAGTCTATAAGAGCTCACTGCACAGGGTGGCCAACAGTAAGATTTGGGCTATCTCCTTAGACTGGTGACACTACTGAGATGGCTCTATTCACATCTATGAGGGCTCACAGCACAGGCCCACAGTCACCCTTCTCAGGTAGGAAAGCAGCTGGGAGTGACAGGGTACTTTAGGACAGGAGGTTAGGCAGGGTGGGTAAATGTACCTTGCTTTCACTTCTCCAGCACTTTTTATACTATTTGTGGCTCTGTGCTGCTTACTTACAAGGGATAGACTGCTAATAGTAACCTTTGGTCTCCTCTGCCCGATTTATTAGGTTTATTATTAGAGAAGTGAAGATTTACAAAGGTGACAATGGACTTACATGTCGGTTTTCTGTCCATGCACATGACCTCTGAGCGCACGTTCCTATCCGGATTGCAGCCAATCTTCCTAAGGTGCTGTATGCAGCATTGGTGGGAGAAACAGCAGCTAAAAAAAAAGAGTAGTAATAGATACTTTGTTATTACCCTGTGTGGCCAAGAGCCCTGGTTGTATCTGGCTTCCATCTGAGACACAGACCTGGAACATATATGCATCAAATTAAAGTGTGCCGTCACAATAATTGCATAAAAATATGACACAATGCATAGTTATGGAAATACCTATACTAATGTGAAGTGAGAATTACATAGTTAATTTTCCTTAAAGGAGAACTATGGGGTCAGTGTTTTTCCCCATAGTTCTCCTTAGGGTAACGGGAGGACACAAACTAGCGTCCTCCCGGTATACTGAGACGCCGCAGCCGGAGCGGATCCCGGCGTAGATGACGGAATCCGCCCAGCTGTGTGAGTGACAGCTGGCTCTGCCTATCTAGAGGCAGAGCCAGCTGTACCCGCCCCCTCCCCCGTCCGTTCCGCCAGTCAGCGCTGGCAGATCGGAGCGGGAAGAGGGGAATCCAGCCCCTCCCCCTGTCACGGCAGAGAGCCGTGACAGGATCGAGAGGTGAGCGAACCTGGTATGTGTTCGCTCACCTCCCGATCTACTGAGCCGACCTGTGACAGTCTCATTGTCACAGGTCGGCTAGAACTATGAGGTGAGTGGAAATCACTCATCTCATAGTTCTCCTTTAAGCCATTTGTTCATTCCCGTTAATAGCTGGTTATTATACAGCAATCTTGTGGGCATTTTGGTAATTGTTCCATGTTTTCTGAATTCCCTCCCCTTGTGTGTAATGTACCGCCCTTCTTCTCCAACTAGTCGTTTAGCGTGTCATGGCTGCCTATAGCAGGACCACATGTACATGCTAGCTTGGAAACATTATCATCCTTGCTGTATCCTGTTGTCTGCTGTAATCTGCTGCATGCAATAAAGCATTTTGTGCATGAAAAGGTATTTGGTGAGTTCAGCTATCTAATAAGGATTGTCCGCGGGGATTACATCTGCTTATACGGGCCAGGCATAGAGGTCTCAGCAAGGGATAAATCGATAATACAACAATCGGAGTCAGGATACAAAAAAAGTCAACATTCCTTATCTTTGTACTTGTTACAGGTCACTTGCCAAAACCAAAGTCTCTACTTGAAGGTCAGGGAACTATTATTTTTCAAAGAAGAGTTCAGCAATAGCAAACTCCATATTTCTCATATGACAGGTTTCCTTTAAGTAGACAGTATTATATCTGTAAGGTGTACCTGTCCAGGATGTCTTTGGGGTCCCCTCTGCCTTCATGTCCACAGTAGCAGCCGTAGGATTCAAACTCTTGGGGGCAACGGCCGGTCAGACAATATAACATTTCCCCCAGTAGTGGTAACTCCATGGTGTTCCCGTCCTCTTTCAGCTGCTGGAAGTGAAACCTGTCGCATACTTCAAGGACAAAGCAAACATATTACAACTTTAATGCGTCCTTCTAAGGTGCCTGTTTACAAGATCTGTATATGCTCCTCTAGCCTGCACCTAGATATTGGTTGTCTAAACTCTACTCCGGCCTTTCTCAACCTTTTTAGCACCAAGGAACCCGTGAAATAATTTTTAGGTCTTGGGGAACCCCTGCTAAACATGTCTACAGCCCACAAAATGTATCTAGCTCAGTATGTTTGGAATAAAAGAATACAGATTATGGTGTGCTAGAGTATTTGGCACCCAGAGAAAAAAGCAGACAGTGAAAAATGTTTGTGGTGTCCACTAACATAATTGGTTAGGGCTGAAGTGACCTCTTCCATTGGTGGCCACCAGTGGAACATTTCCCGGTTTCATTGGTGGTCAGTGTGGGCAGGTGATCAATTTGGGTCATGTAGAGGGATGGCAGAGAGGCATGGCTGTTCTGCTGTACAATGTGCCTGTTGCCCTCTTTCCGGCCAGAGCCGGGTGGGGAGATGTGTATGGGCCATATACATCTCTTCGCAAAGCTCTTAGCAACCGGGGACGCTCTGGCCAGTGACCCACCCAGCTCCTCGAAACCAGTGATGTCATAGTAATGATGCAGAGGCCACCTCCCCCCCTTCGCCTAGAGCCCCTGCCCCCCCAACACCCCCTTCCCTTTTAGCATGCACTACCAGCCAGGCGATAAAAAGACTAGAGTCGCCCCTGTGTGTCCATATACATAGACATGACAACATTTACATTTGAACAAATCAGGATACTCCTACAAGTGCTTCTTTTTTAATGAAATTAAATTACATTTATAATATAAGAAATATTCATCTTGTATATGATTGGACATTACTAATGTAACTATTTCTATTAGACATGTGCAGGGCAAAAAGATTTGTTTTGGACGAAACAAACGAAAATGAAAAACATTAGCATTAAAATTCGTTAACATTGACGAAACAAATGAAGTTTTCGGATTCGGAGGCAACGCGTCAGCAACCCTCACCTCCTGCGCATGCGCGTAACACAGTGGCGTCACAAGGGGTGTGCGGGGGGTGCGGCCCGCACCGGGGTGACACCATTGGAGGGGTCATTTTGGTGTCACCCCCCTCTGAAAAGTCAGGCGCTCGGTCACGGACTGAACGCCCGACAGTATCAGGGGAGAGGAGGGGACCCGGCGGCATACCTTATCCCGCCGGATGCCTGTCCCCTCCTCTCTCTGCCGGCGTCCATCACCAAGATGG